GAGATATGGTTCAGAGGTTAAGGGCACCGACTGCTCCTCCAGAGGTCCTGAGTTCAATTCCCAGCACCCACATGGTGGCTCACAACCATCTGTAATGAGATCTGGCACCCTCTTCTGTATACATAATAAATAAATAAATTTAAAAAAAAAGAATCTTGAGAGACAATAACTCAGAGTGACCAAATGGCCGAAAAAACAATCCTATATCAGGAAGACATAAATAAACATAGAAAGATCATCAAGAAAAGATTAAGAGATGGCTATCATTCTAGAGACTATGCCTTGTTTGTTTTTAGTAGATGGGTAAGGATTATGTGCAGCAAAACACAATCACAGCAGTGCTTAATGGGGGGGGGCGTATTGACCTGGTCACTGTGCACTGGATGTAGCTGTTTGGTAAGGAAGGGAATTGGACACCTCTTTGGAGATCTTTGATATTCCTGGGACTACAAAGAAAGTGGGTCTTAGGCAATTAATTTATATTTGATATTTGTTAGATCCAAGGATAGCCAAGATCAGAGAATGTATCCAAGAACAACATGATTTGTGTTTTGAGAATGGTTAGCTGAGAATCGAAATGTGGTCTTAACAAAATTAGGTAAATTAGGTTCAGACAGACCGTGAAGAAAAGATAATGAGTTCAGTTCCAGATATATTGAATTCAAGAAATGGGTTAGCCGTTGGGAAATTTAGACTGGAAATCAAGAATAAGTTCACAGCTAAATGTAACAATGTGAAAGACACGGGGCTTCAAAAAACAATTTATTAATTATGGAAGAAGCATTGGGACAGTGTCACAGGAACCACATACCGAGCCCTTGAAACTCTTCTATTTGAGTATGTGAACAGATGATGAACAAGCAAAGAAGCAGGTGGAGCAAAACATGTAAATCTAACCACAGACAGACGGGTTATTTTGATATCAAGTTAGTGAAAAGCGTTACTTTAAGCATGTATTTTCTAGCTATCAATTCATGTTGAACAGTGAGTTATTCTCACTGAGTATCAGCAAAGGTGAACAACAATTCCATAATTTAAAGTATCACGAATAGGTATTGTAAATACATTTGGACACTATATGCATGTGAACTGTGGCCCTATGATGATAATTGAAAGATTGTAATCTTTAAATTTGGGGTATTCCAGTTTCTACCCTTTCAAAACTTATGGTATTTCAAATGACAAAGCATCATTAAAATCTGAAGGAATACTACCATGATAGTCATTTTAAAAGGACCCTATACACCATTCACTGGACACATTGATGATGTGTCATTATTCAAATTTTATGTTATAGTTATTCTCTTACGAATAGCAATAGTTTATTCAGTCTCCCATTACTAACAGATTACATTTAAATATTCATTTTTTCCTTGAGGACTAATCCAAATTTTCTTTCATAACCTTTCGTCTAAAAATGGTAGTAACAAGCTATAACTGGTAATATGGATAGGAAAGAATAGATAGGAAACGAACCTCATAAAATTAACCCAACGTTGGGCAAAAAATGCATGGGCACTTTCTTATTTCCATAACATGAAATGGTTCTGGAAGAAGTCCAGATTATTTTTTTTCACTATCTGTGGGTTTTTTTAAATTGGTCAGGTGAGAAATAATTTCTAGTGTTATAATATTAACAAATTTAAATACAACATAATGCTCAAAAGAATAAAGGTACAGAAATTGAATGATTACTTGCTCTTTTGCGTATTTTATTTCCAATGTCTTTTCATGCATTTTCATATGTTTTGTATAGGGGATCAAAGGATTATTAAGGATGTTGAGACCATGATCAATATCAGTTTCCAATTTAAATATGTTGTAAAGTATGTAAAATATTTGGGTTTCATTCATAAGAATTTATTTATACCACCTAAGAAAACATTCCTGGAGCAAGCTAATAGTGTTGTCTTATGAGAACATACCAGGAATTTATACCATCATACAAATGACATTTGAAATATGTGAGCAGATTGCCACATTGTTTTTCTAAAAATAAGGTAAAAATTCCTGATTTTACCCAAGGTTACTGTTATTGATGAATGTGGCAATTTTGGACAGACACATTTACTTAAACTTATACTATCAGAATGCCTAAAATAAGATAAAAGTTAACCTTAGAATATTAGAAATTAGCACAGACAAATATATGTGAATTGTCTCTTTTGATACTCTGGAATGATGAATCACATTTTCTTGCACGTATGCTCAGCTCTGATGACAAGTGTTTTCCCATATATGCATTCTCGAATACTTCCCAGTTGTATTTCAAAACCTTCATAAACTTTAATATGGAAACATAATGCATGTCATTATTTTAGCAGCAGGGGGCTGAGTAAATATATTTCATTTGGTTTATGTTTCTAATAAAAAGTAATTTTGATTTAAATTAGCACTATCTTTTTTTTTTAGGCCTCCATTCCTTTGAAGGAATTGGAGCAGTTTAACTCAGATATACAAAAATTGCTTGAACCACTGGAGGCTGAAATTCAGCAGGGGGTGAATCTGAAAGAGGAAGACTTCAATAAAGATATGGTAAATTGGTTATGATGAAAGTGTGAATGAGCTGGGAATGAAAATGAGTAAATATTTGGAAAGAAATATTATAACTTATGTCTCCAACTGAATTCTCAGAATGCCAACATTCACATAGTGTTATTTTTAATGATTTTATTAAGTGGAAAGTATTCCTTTTGACATGTTATTATAACTGCCAAATTACCATCTTATGAACATATGGGCACACTCTCAAATTCTAAAAATTAGTTCAATTTTGTTTTGGCTTATTCCATTCTTAAATTCAGAAGGGAAAATGTAAAAGAAAATAGCCATTCAGGACATAAACTAAAATATAACAGAAATTATAGTATTATATATAGCTGATGCTTTTGATAATAGCAAGGACAATTGCATGAAATGTTTGCCAAAGTTTCTAACAATGTGGTTTTACCAAAGATTTAAGAAAATACTGATTTTAGAAAATACTAAGAATATATATATATATATATCCATGTTGCTTATTCAATGGGAGTAAAGAGATACATTCATGTGGCCTGTACATAAACTCAGAACATCTTCTTCCAATCCCTGTTAATTTCAAAATACCTCTTATATTTCTCCCTGGCTTGACTGTTTCTACATCACATCACTATTCACTGAGTATGTTTATGCTACATTCACTTTCTTTTTTTGCATGTTCTTTTCCTCTCTTCCACTGCTGTCACCACTGTAGCATACTTAAACTTTACATGTATCACACTAGAGATTTTCATATATATAATCAATGCTAGAGACATCTTAAACAATGCTTGAAAGCAACATTAGAAGGCAATATATAATTTTTACTTCCTAGATAATGTAAAGTTTTGGGAAAATCTTAGCCTCTATTCATATTACTTCTGTCTTCTTGGAATTGTCTGAATCAGTACTCCTTACATAAGAAGTTTAGTGACCTTCACATCTCAGCTCATGGAAAGAAAGACAGGAAGAAACTTCCCGAAATTCTGAGATCCAGCTACCTCTACTTCATGTCAAAGAAGAGATTCCAGGGTGAAGAAGTCAAAAAGTGTTGCTACTTTTCTGTCTCACTCACAGCCCTGCCATAGACTACTCACTTAGGGGAATAAATTAGTTTTATTAATGTTTTTTTTCTCAGCCATGAAAATTGCTTCACAGTCTCAAAAGGCATATTAAAATATTCTATTATAGATGATTTTTATAAACTATAATCTATATAATTATATAATATATACACTAGACTATTAATAGACAATTGTAAAGAAATCCCATTTCCTTTAAACACATTGTATTTTGAATTTAAACATAGATTTTCATATAAGACACTTATTACTATACATAATAATATAAATGTATATATAAATGTGTCTTTTGAAGTTTGTGTGTCATTTATCATTAGCTCATTGGCATACCTGCGTACCATCGCATACTATGCTTTGTAGTAAGTAGTTTTCATATTTGGTGTTGAGTAACAAAAAACAAGAGATACACAAATGTAAACATGTAATAATATTTTATTTTTATATTTATTTTTTCAAATAATATATTTTAGTAAATAGAATTAAACCATGGTTCTTAGAGAAAAAACAAAATGAGAATTGAAAAATTTTGAAGTTATTTTAATACATACTCATAGTATTATTTTATTTGCTTAAACTTAACATAATTATGTGTCATTTTAGAAATTGACTCTTTTAAAAATATGACAAATTTCCCCATCATTTTTATTAATGCTCCGTATTCTATATTTGAGCATTTAGGTTTAAATATAAAACATAGATTAGTATGTAAAATTTACCATACAGATATAGATCGATTAATATTGGAAGGGAGAAGATTAATTTATTTCTCCATACATTTTTAATTTGTTTAACTGTAATAAAAATAAAATCCAAAACATTATTTTTCCAGAAAATCATAACTTCTATGACTGAAAGTGCCTTACTCTCCATCTTTGTACTCAAAATCTGCCTTCAGAAGAGATACACAGGAACTGTTTTCTATCTGATTGTAAAAGAAATATAAGTGTAATATTTCATGCTAACATCCCCTAAAAATTTTAAATTGGATTTTGTGTGTATTTAAATATGTTTGATTATCTCTGTTAACCATGTACAGCTTTGTAAAAATCCAAATGAAGACTGTACTTGTTGTTTTTAATCAGAGTGAAGACAATGAGGGTACTGTAAATGAATTGTTGCAAAGAGGAGACAACTTACAACAAAGAATCAGTGATGAGAGAAAGCGAGAGGAAATAAAGATAAAACAGCAGCTGTTACAAGAAAAACATAATGCTCTCAAGGTATTAGAGCTCAAATTATAATATGCTTTGTCTGGGGATTTGTATATGTAGGGTAAAATACCATGTACATAAATAAAATCTGCTTAAGAATTTTAGTTACCAGAAAACAACTGTTCCCCTTTGAATATGTGTGCTTTATGAATTTTTTTGTGCTATCAGTTTTGAGAGTTATGTGACATAAACTTTGTTTTGTTCTTTTTCTTAGTAATATTGAAATCTCTTTAAAAGTATCACTCACAGTGCTATAAAATTATTTTCTAATATGCTTTATTTCTCTAAGCTAGTTTGGTATTTGTCCTGCTTGCCAGAATAATCAATTGCTAATCCCTCCACTGCTGTTGTTTCTTTACAATAGGTCAAGTATTTTGGTAAACTGTTTAATAGGGCCTAGAATTTCCTCATTTTAAAAAATAAACTTGACTGTGTTCATAACAGATACTTTGTAAAAGTAGGCATCTACAAGAGCCTAATTTCATTTATATAGGAACCTTCAAAAGTGTTTGTAATGAGCTTGAAAAAATAATATCTGCTGTAGTATATGCACTCAAGTATCCTTGTGACCCATCTGTATTGTGCAGGAAGAACAGAATGAACTGTTCATTTTTCTCTAATGCTGTCTAGGCAGTCCTTGAAATAGAACTAGATATGCTAAACATTCTGTGAAACATTATTTTTCTATATGATTTACAACATTCCCTATTTTCCTTCATGGCTTATTTTCTAATACTGTTAATTGTAATGTTTTTCATTGTGAACCATTGCTTTAGTCATATATGGCTATATAGTTAGATTCCCCTAATAGGTGGATGGAGTCTGCTTTCTATATGCAAATAAGTGGGTAAAATCTTTTCCCCTATTGTTAACTAAATAAACACTGCTGAGAATGTAATTACACAGTATTGTGCCTGCAAGGAATCAACAAGGAAAGTCTAATTGGCCAGCAGGTGTTCTAAAGGTAACTGCTGGTAAATATAGTAAATAGAAAAGCCCTCTTCCTTGAGGGGAATGCAAGAGCAAATCATAATGTGCCCAGAAAATCAGAAACCTGTGTAATTCACACTCTTCTGTGACAAAAACTTTCAGAAGTTTATAGATTAGTCACACAAGGGTATGTATGCTATTGGTCATCAGTATCTAGAAGCCATCTTCCATACATCTAACAAATACGTATTTTTTATAAATAATATTCTGTATTGAACATTGCCTCTTTCTAAGGAAACCAAGGGACTAACAGATTTATAACCATCATTCCCATTCCTTTATGCCAATATATACATTGTATCATGAATAAGTCACAGTTCAATAAGTGCCAGGTTTGGATCTTGGTATATCATTAGTGGGAGCAGAATTCCATCAGACTCTTTCAAGGCATTAATTACCTTTATATGGGGCTTAGAAATGACATACAAAGTACAAACTACAGTAAATTATAAATCTTCATGCCACAAGTAATTAATAAAAATCAACTTTGTTTGTCAAACCAACTTACAACAAATACAGTTATGTAGTTAACCTGCCAAGATTAACTATTATTATAAAATATTTTAAAGAGATTAGAAGTTTGCAAAGCAATGAAACTTTCAGTTCTTTGTTGATATTATTTAATTCATATTAACTTGGATATAAAACCCAATTGCTACCTCTTTGAAGAAATGAAATCTGTAGATAGAGCTTTAGATTTCTGTGGGGGTACAAACTGGAGTTTTAGCTAATTGTATTGATTTCAGACAATTTTGAGAATACTTCTATGGGCCAGACAATAATTACTTTCTCCTTTGATGATTTATTGAGTTTATTTGTTTTATATCACCAATTTGATTAAAACTATTCACTCTATTTGGAATAGCAATTATTTTTATACTTTGAGTATGATCTAGCATAATAAGAAAATATTGGCTAAGCATGAATTTAAAGAAAAAGAAGTGTTTTCTGATATTAATTTCTCATTTTCATGTATGATCATAGCTCTATAAAGAATAGTTATACTTCTACATATATAACATGGAACAACTTTAACTACAATATCTAATTAAAAATTATTATCTTGATTTTTAAATTTATGTATATGGGTTTTTTCCTTTATGTTTTTCTATGTACCATGTGTATGAAGTGCCTGCAGAGGCCAGAAGAGGGCCTCAGATCCCCTGGGACTGGAGTTACAGATGGTTGTGAGCAGCCATATGGGTACTGGGAGTCAAACCTGGATCCTCCAATATTCTTAAATACTGAACCATTTCTTCAGCTTCCAAAATAACTACATTTTTAAGCAACATTATTAATGGCCTAACTATAAATACATTTCTAAAGCAATGAATGTATATAGTTTGTCTATATAGTGTTAATTTATGTTAATAAACCTCAAACTGAACATATGCATTTTAGAATTTTAAGTATTTTAAAAGTGAAGTTCAACTCAATGCTTTTGTAGCTAACTAGTTATGTTCATTGTATTCATATATGAAATTGTTTCAAATGTACTATGCAACCATTTCCTTAGATAATTAAGATTTATAAGCAAGTTTGAATATTCAAAGAAAAAAATTTGTGTTATTCATGTATTCATTTCTTAGCTTCTGAACATAGATCTTAAGATATAAATACATAATTTAGTAATTTATATCTATGCTTTGTATTTAAATGTGATTTTTACAAAACAATTAAAAAGATAAGGGACTCAATTTAGTATTCATAAATAACTGCAGCAAGGAGTATATTATGCACATCTATTGATATTTTAATAATATCTGCATCATGAACAGGATTTGAGGTCTCAAAGAAGAAAAAAGGCCCTAGAAATTTCTCACCAATGGTATCAGTACAAGAGGCAGGCTGATGATCTCCTGAAATGCTTGGATGACATTGAAAAAAAATTAGCCAGCCTACCTGAACCCAGAGATGAAAGGAAAATAAAGGTAAAGTTGTTTTAGAATGGCAATACTAGATTTTGCTGCTAGAAAATCACTACTTTAACATAACCTACAATGATCATGTATAAAATGTGCTCTCTTAGCTTATTATCTGCTTTGATGTATTTCTTTGTACTGTGTTTTGTTTCAGTAACTGTATTGTACTGAGTGTTATTGAATTGACTTAATGTTGAATGAATAAAATGTTTTATAAAATGTGAGATGAATTATTAACTGTCATGTGTTTTCTGGTAAAATTGTAATTGACTCTGTGTATCTTTGTTCCAGATGAACTAATGACTTATCGGTACATGGACGACTTCTTTCTCATGTTAGCACATTCATTTCATCAGAACATCTTTTCATATCACTGTCAAATATCTATAGATTTATTTGCAAATTGTCCAAAGGTGTTTTCTTTCTGTTATTATTTTACACTTTTTATTTTGCTTCATTCTCTGTTGAGTTCCTAAAACCATTAAAATAAAAAGTTGTAGTCACCTACCCTCTAAATTATATTCTATGTGGATTATCCCTAATAAATAAGTGAACAATCACTTGAATTTGGATCAATTCTCAAAACACCAAAACAATTCAAAAGAAACAATTAAAATTAAATGTTAACTAACATTTAATAATTTAATTATAATATCTTAAACTGAGCATTCAAATGATACCTAAAATTATATTTGGCCTACTGGGTGAGGATGAGAGTGACACCTTCCATTATTTATAAAGTATGAAAACTAAAAAAGGAACAACAGCCTATGAAATTTCTGAGAGATGTATTTGCTGCTTGTAGGTCGGTTGCTGTGGTTAGCTAACTGCCCTGGGCCCTGTATTGATTTTGCTCAATAGGAAATTGATCGTGAATTGCAGAAGAAGAAAGAGGAGCTGAATGCAGTGCACAGGCAAGCTGAGGCCTTGTCTGAGAATGGGGCCGCAATGGCAGTGGAGCCAACTCAAATCGAGCTCAGCAAGCGTTGGCGGGAAATTGAGAGCAATTTTGCTCAGTTTCGAAGACTCAACTTTGCACAAATTGTGAGTTGTTACTGGCAAACCCACGTATGTGTTTGCGACTAATACTCTATTAACAGAAGCCTACTAACAACACCAAAAATCTGGGCTTAATAACAAACTTTTATGGTGCATTCTAAAAGTGAGGAGTTCCCCTCACTTTGGGCTTCTGTAATTCAAAAGCTTAATTTTCATGATTAAAGACAAAAGGACAAGTGATAGGAAAAGGCCCCTTATTCAAAATAAAAAAGAAAATATCTACATCTTAATTTCATTTGCTGCATCATTTTTCATAACATTGGCAATGTGAATTTGTCAATTTCTCATACATTTATTTACTTCACTGTCTAAATCAGAAATACGCATTGCTTTCCTGAGATCATCCCATGCTGATTTTACTTTATTACTGTATACATGGTGAATAATAAATATTTTATGAAATATGTTATCTTGACCTACATAAGGTCCTCTCATTGACTTAAAGAATTTTACTACAGTCTTTACTTTTGGACTAGGCACTTAGTGCGTCACAGTACTCATTAGACGAACTGGATGGCTCATGATAAGTTGATATTTGATGGAAGATCAAATACAAATGTCATCACCAAAGTATTAGAAACCAAAAGGAAAGGAGAGTCCCTTGAAACAACAGGATGGAATGTTTCTGATACACTCTTTGAAAAGGCAATTAAAAAATTGTATAATCATTCTTGATTATTTGTAATAGGGTAGAGACAAGAGAGACTTTTTGACAAATACACTTTTGTTTCTTACTCAAGTTCTTAGAAGGTAAAGAAGAATGACCACCATCTGCATTTCCAGAAAAGTATGCATCGCAAACCCAAGATATAAATGTCTAAGAAAAATCACCATTTTGCATTGTGTAACTAAAAACTGCATGGGATTCAATTAAAAAAATGATATTTCTTCTGTGATATGAATTCCAATTATTACAGTGTATATGTAACATACCTAAAATAATTAAAATAACTATTTTATGAGTGTGTATGGGAAAATACATGGCATATTATTGTGACTTCTTTTTATATTTTTAAGAAAATTTATAAGTATACAGTTTTTATGAAATTCAATAATCTCAATTTTAATTGCAGCTAACTATTGTAAACAATTTGAAAAATAATGTTTTAAGAAATAATAGCCAGCCATGATGATGTATGCCTGTAATCATTGCAAATATGAGGTCTAGGTAGCAGAACCAGGAGGTCAGCCAATCTGCTTCGAAAAATAAAAATTAAAAAAAATGGAAATACTGGAACTATTTTATCTTAAGGAGCTGACTGAACATTGAAATCTCTGAGCTTTCATATTTAATATTATAAGCATGATATTGCATAAATCACTAAAAGTTAAAATAGCAGGCAACATATAAATTATGGTAGAATAACTTCTGTGTATGTGGAAGTATGAATGTTCATGTCCATGTAGGTGTAAATGCAGGTGTGGTTAAATGTGTATGTATGGGGGTGCAGGTGGAATTCAAAGGAAGAAGACAGTTTCAGGTGTTGATTTTCAGGTTCCAGCCAGCTGTTCTTCAGATTCCAGTTATTGGTAGGAAGTAACTGGTCTTCTAATTGGCCTGGAATTCAACAAGTTGACTAGGCTTATTGGTCTACCATGGGACCCAAGAATCCATCTGCTTGTCTCCTCAGTACAATAATATATAATATTTAATATGTATTATATTATATAATATAATATGTATAGTCCTGGTGATTGAACTCAAATCCCAGTCATCATCCTTGCAAGGCAAGTATTTTTTCCCTTTGGAACTACCTCCCTATGTCCTAGTAGAATAATTTTGCTTTTATATAATAGAACATTTATAAAACAATTCTTGGCTTATGGAATTAGCTTATGTAATCCATTTTCTCTACTTCAGTTTATAAGTTATAAATGGTACATATACCATTATACACACACACACACACACACACACACACACACACACACACATTTTGGAATAGTGCCTTTTGAGCCATTAAGATAGGCTAATTATGGGTTATTTTTTTAAGATGAGAACAATAACCTTATCTAATCTATTGTGATCAATACACATTGCAAGTTAGATAAAATGTACAGACAAGTAATTTTCTATGGTGTCAAACATTATTAGCAGAAATTTCAGACTAATCCTTCAACTCAGTCAAAGAAGGTTATAAGTCTACACAAATTTTCTGATAAAGTTTTCATTGAATTTTTGCAACCTTCATGAAGATAAAGAGTAACATAAAAAAATTTAAAGGATTTAAAAGCTCCATAGCAGAAAACTATGTATCTATTTTAGTAAGAATATATTTACAAATTAGAAAGTACTAAGGAAAATTTTTTTGCTGAAAATTCTAGAAGACATGGAAACTAGAATAAAACATATTCTGTAATATGCATCAGAAGGGTTCCAGAGTGTAAAATTGGAGAACATGAAGAAAAGACAATATTTTATGTAATTAAGTGGCATTTTATACTTTTGAATTGATTTCAATTTACATGACTTTTCACATTGGATAAAAGTCTACTACTGCAGAAAAACAACAGTGAGTCCACACCTATCTAGTCTTGAATAAAACTGTAATATTAAATGACCAAGAATGTACCATAGTAGAAAGACTAACAATACCCACAGAAGACTTTTCATCAACAATAGATATTGACTACAATAGACATTAGATGAGCTTCAAAATGCTAAAGGCAAGACATTCGGAGGTGCAACTAGTGTTATGTATAGAAAAAATATTTATGTATTAACTTTTGAATAAAGGAAATAGAAACACAATTATTTTGTGAATAAAAAAATTAACCCAAAGTAGAATAAGTTATTCAATGTTGTTAATTTATCTTCCCTATTAAAATAAGAACAGCAAAATATTTTTGATACAAAAATTCTGATAAATGCTGGAAAGAAAGAGTATTGTGTGAATGCAGAAGCTATTTTAATATATCCTACATGAAATAATAAAAAATATGAGACATTTATATTGTGTCATATATGTTGTATCCATGTGCCCTTATGAATTATTACCATTCATGTTTTTAGATAAAAAAGCATAGTGCATTATGAATAAATATACAAGTAGAATGCATTGCATGGCCTGTCCAATAAAAGAAACATACAAACAGCTATTTAGTTGAAGAAGAACAATTTAAAAAAGTAAATTCTCTTTTCCAAAACAACTCTAGTTTCCATGGGAATCTTGATATTAAATTTCAGTTATATGATACCATTATTAAAATATTTATATCCCCAAACATCAAATTTAGTTTATCTTTCATGCCTTGGAGTTATCTCAAACACAGCATAGCACCAAGTAGAAACATTGCCTCCCAGATTACCATCTACATTAACTGGTGCCCACAAAACTCACCAGATGTTAGGAGATCACACCATCCTTCATTTAAGTCTAAAACGTAGACACCATGATTCCATGATTTTTTTTAATCTCATTACATAATGTTAATTTTTTTTTTCGTTTTTCAAGACAGGGTTTCTCTGCGCAGCTTTGCGCCTTTCCAGGAGCTCACTTGGTAGCCCAGGCTGGCCTCGAACTCACAGAGATCCGCCTGGCTCTGCCTACCAAGTGCTGGGATTAAAGGTGTGCGCCACCATCACCCGGCTAACATAATGTTAATTTTAAAACTGTTTTAAATTTACCATTACCTTTCATCAAATCATTCATTGCTATCTGCATTACAGAAATTCTAATTTAAAACTCATCATCTCTCACCTGGTTTATTTCAACAACCTCCAATTCCTGCTTTCAGTGTCTTCCCAACAGCACTATATTCTTTGTTGTAAGGTTAATGTATTCCTTATAAGATAAACATTGATGCTAAGCCCCTAGTGTCTATTACACTTTCAGCAAAATCCTATGAACTCTACTGTTCATTATCAGTTATGAAAGCTTTATTTCCGTTTCTGCTATTGTGCTGCTATAATCACTTAAATGACACCCTTCTATATTGAAATACAGTGATTTCATTTCCGTTCCAGAATCTCAGATCTCAGAAGTTTTTTTTTTTGTTTGTTTGTTTTGTTTTTTGTTTTTTTGTGAGCTCTATTAAATCTATAAATGTGCATACATGCCTACTTATTTAGTTACCTTTTCATTTAGAAACAATGAATACTAAGACTTTGACATATAATCTGCACCTATTTTGTTAATACTTTTGGCTTTAAAAATACTTTATAAATCCAAAATGGGATATGGAGACTGCTGATCAAAGAACACTTATATGTCCAGTGCTCTGGAAGTGGGGATATGATTGAAACTGGAATCTAACACTATGGTTGTAAAGAGTGAATATGAACTGGGTTACAAAAATAAATCATAAGGGAAAGCTTTTATTATATGAGAGTATTCAGAAGACATTTTTACAAGATTGACAGTATATATTTCCAAATCATATGTTCCTATAAAGATGGTGGAAATTAATGTTTTACATTATTCACTTTAAATGCCAGAGAAAACATAATGTGACATTATTCCTTAAGTAACAGTGAAAAATGAAATACATTTATACTGTGGACATTTTTCTACTAACCTATGAATTAAAATTTTTGAATATTATTTTCTATTTTTTTCAAGCACCTTGTTTGATTATTTTGACATCCTCAATATTGTTTCAATTGCTACTGAAATTATCCAAAATCATACCTAAAAGACAGAAGACACCAAATGAATCAATGCTTTCTAAGTGTGGAAGGATTAAAGATACATATTCAAATATTTGGAGGAAATACAGAATTAAGCAAAGTGTCCTTTTTTATAATGTCTCAGAATATCTAACATTAGAGTGCCTTAACTTTTATTAGAGGGATAGATTCCATAGGCTGTCACATTTGATCAGGTGCAGTAGAAAGTGAGATTGCTGGTAGGATTCATGATTAATGGAAACAACTATTGTTCCATAAAAAAAATGTGAGGAAAGCATTAAGTTACCTTTATGCATCTGTTGGTTGTGATGTTCTTAAAGTTAAACAGAAATATATAAGAAAATTAGTTACAGAG